GGAGGGCAAGCGATTGTCGCCTCACCGCACAGGCTCCATAGGAAATGAATGGAGAGCGAGCGACGTCGCCTCCCGTGTGTCGAGCCCTTTAGTAAGAAGTGGGATTTAGCACTCCTTTCCCAAAAATTCAATTGCCGTCCATGGGAACATTTCATCTAATGATGTACTGCTGCATAGTATTTCCAAAGAAACCACATGTTTTTTTTGTATATTACCCTTGATTAATAATAAACATTTTCCTGTAAAAATACAAATATTGTTGTCATATAGTTTACAATAACTATTCCCTGTTTGGAATCAGATTTTCCCTTTGCCCATCACTAATTGTTTCCAAACACTAAAACACCATGGAGCTAATTTAAAACCCCTGCCTTCTCCTCGGCGTCACYCATTCATTTGGGTTAAAAGGATTAGTTTGGCATCCATCTTCTAATTACACAGCGTTCAGCCTTCCACTTGAAGATTAAATTGGGCCGGAGTGGTCTCGGTGACACGGCGCATACATCAGAGCGCCGGATGGGAGCTCAACAAATGAAGTGCTGGATGGGGTGTTTGACACTGATGCAGATAAAAGTGTTAAATGGAGGAGCTAAATAGATGTCGGCTTATGAATTTTCACTACGTTCCTTATCTTCCTCTGTCAGCGAATTACCACGGAGATTAAAGAGGCAGCTGATAGGATATCTTTTTGACCTCAGATAAGAGGTATCTTTTTGCAATATGAAGTAAAACACACTGTTGTGACTTTTGACACATTTAATCTGATCAAACTATAACACGCATTAGGATTTACTGATCTTTAGGTTGAGCTGTAAGATGAAAAGTTGGGTTTTTWAAAATAGCTCAGCAACTGCAGGTAAATGGACGGAAACTGAGGACAGCAGAGTTTGTTCCCAGGAACAAAACGCGCAGAGACCTGTAAAAACCGAGAAGGCGTCGGGCTGTGCGTTCACAGGTTTTTGTGGATGTCCCATTTGCGGCTCATCCTGCCATTGCTTGCGGCTGATTGCAGCAGCAGAATGTATGGGATTTGAAAGGTAGTGTGCCCGCTGGGGGGTGGGGGGTGGGGTGGTTTGCTGTTCGCTGAGGTTTATGGGTGAGAAGTCACAGTGGAACAC